ACTGTCCTCATGGCAAAGATAAAATAATTCAGTTATTAGAAATGAGTTACTAAAACTACTTAGAATTTGCTGGAAAAAAATTATCTCTCTGTTAAACTGAAATTGGGGGGAAAATAAACACGGGGCAAATAATTCAGGGGGACTAATAAATTTGACTTCTACTGTATATATTTTAATGAATAAAAAAACTATTTAAAAACAATACTGTGCTTTAAAAAAACACACACACAATCTAACTTTTACATCTTTAGCAAGTTTCATCACCTTTACTGCATTAAGCCCTACAAATAGCCTAAATAACATCTTAAAGAAAGTAAAAACTTGCGTTGAGAAAAGCAAGACGCCCTTTAGCATGTGGCATGGTGCCAGATTACAGTGGAAAAAAAAGAGAGAAATGCACGTTGTCATATATGACACTCAACAATACTTGTTTGCCTCAGAGCTGCCTGGAAACAGCTTGATGATGGCAAACCCCGGAGACCAGCAAATCCCTGAGGAAAAGCCAGGAAAACATTAGTAACAAGATAACAGGGGAGGAGAGGAGAGGAGCAGAGAGACCTCAGAGAGATTGATCAAGACTTCTTCAGGTCTGAAACACCAGCTCAGCGAATGGAGAAAACAAGAGCCAAGGGTTACAGATGAAAAGTATAATGGTAAATGATGAGGTTGATGAGGATTTTAGTCAGTGGTTAACATCAGATTATCAGTGCAGTCTGCATATACTGTAATATGTAAACGTCAAAGAAAAATAATCACATGCTTGAAGATTAACAATTAAACATGGTCATTTAGTACTTTTTTTAACTAGACTTACAATTCCTCCTATCAAACTTATAATGATTCAGTTAGCAGAACAGATCTTTCTTTTTGGCTCGTTCTTTCTTTCAAATTAATCAATTTATTTTGTCTATATTTACTTGTGTTTTGTTCTCGATTTTTTGTTTGTTTAGTTTAGTTAGATTTTGTTTAGTTTCAGTTACTAAAACATTTATTTATTTATTTATAATGTTTAATACACAACAAATATTCTATAGTTTCTCTATGTTTTATTGTTTTGCCTGTATTTAAATTGTTTTGTTCGATTTATCAAGACAGATCTTATTTATTTATAGTTTTCAACAATTATAAGTATATATTTTTTTGATTTCTCTGTTTATTCGTTTTTCCTGCTTTTATTTGTTTAGTTCGATTTACCAAAACAAATCTTATTTATTTATAGTTTTCAAGTATTATAAATATTCTTTTCTCATTTTTCGGTTTATTTGTTTTTCCTGCGGGCAGCACGGTGGCGCATTCGCAATACAGCAGGAAGGTCACTGGTTCGATTTCCTAGCTGGGTCAGATGGCATTTCTGTGTGGAGTTTGCATGTTCTGCCTGTGTTCGCATGGGTTTCTTCCGGGTGCTCAGGTTTCCCCCACAAGTCCAAAAACATGTGGTATAGGTGAATTGGGTGAGCTAAATAGTCCATAGTGTATGTGTGTGAATGAGTGTGTATGGATGTTTCCCAGTGATGGGTTGCAGCTGAAAGGGCATCCGCTGTGTACAGCATGTTCTGGATAAGTCGGTGGCTCATTCCACTTTGGCGACCCCAGATTAATAAAGTCGAAATGAAAATGAATGAATGTTTTGCCTGCTTTCATTTGTTTAGTTCAATTTACCAGGGCAGATGTTATTAATGAATTTTTTTATAATATTTTTTTTCGGGGTTTTCACCTTTATTAGATTGGACAGTAGAGAGAATTGGCAGAAAAGCATGGGGAGCAGAGACAGGGTAAGAATTGGCATAGGGTCGTGAGGCGAAATCAAACTCGGATCGCTATGAACACCGAAGCGCATGTGTTGACGTACTAACCACTACACCATGTTTTTAACACTCTTACTTTTGACTGTGTGTTTCATTTGTTTATTTAGGCTTTGTTTTGTTTAATTTAACAATAGAAATCGTTTAAAAAGCACATACTCATTAGTGGTTTGTTTGTTTTTTTGTTTTAAATAGCTGCATATTTTTGTTTTATGTTTACTTGCTATTACCTTGTGTTTTGTGTATTTCATTTGTTCAGTTTAGCATGATTTTGTTTAGGTTTAGTCACAGTAGTTAGGATTAGTCACAATAGTTGATTGATTAGTTGGTTGGCTGGTTAGTTAGACTTTTTTTTAAACCCAATGGGAAATTTACGACACAGCAGAGCACCATGCAATACATAAACTCTACAAATACTATAAAAATGGCATTCCACAGTGCACCCTATAGTTTCAAAAATCAAAGTAGACCCTTAGTAGATCCATATATAAATTAATTCTCATCTAATATCTAATATGACATTGATTACACATTTTAATAACTGCTGGTAAAAATGGCTTTCTGTATCATTCTCTATAACACCGGGGCATGGTTTATTTAGCTGAAAGAGCTCGTATTAAACATTAGGATAATTGTGATTCATCATATTAACACACATTCCATAACAGAACCTAAGTATTTTTTATAAACTTCTTAAGTTAGTTTTTCGCCTTATCCAACAATATCCTTGCCCAGCAGTCAACAGAATACAAGATGACATCACAGAATCATATAATGTTTTCAAAAGTATCTGACACACAAAAGGATCTCAGTTGTTAGTACACAGAAAAATCCTCTGAGTAAAATTGACTCAGTTCAGAGAGTATTTAGTCCCTCTTTAAATATGGGCAAGCAGGTTGGTAAGAAGTAGAACTGCTGTTTGTGGAGTTGCTTAATGATCCTCTGCTGAGATTTTGAGACATACAATATATTATGTATACAAATATATCTTCTGTCATGTTTTGTCGATATTTACTGGTTCTCTCTAAACTTTATTTGTTAGGTCAGGTTAGATTTTGTTTTTATTTCAGTTATCAACACTGCTTTATTTTAATTACCGGATGTATTATGTTGATATTTAGTCAAAAAAAAAAAAAAATCTTACTTAGAATTTTTATTTTGTTTCTAGTCCAAATATCTAAAAATTCTTAAATCCAAAAGTATTTTGTAGCCAAGCAAAAAATAGTGTCTTGTTTTCAGAAATAATAAGTCAAAATAAGTGAGTTTCTTTCAAAAACAAGCAAAATAATCTTGTGTTCACTTTGAAATGAGTTTATTTAGTTCATGTTTGTATATATTATGTGTTCATCTAAATTGAGTTATATAGTTTGGTTCCATTTTGGAAGTATTTCAGTGAACTGATGAGATCACAGATCTATAAAGTAAAGCAGCACCATAGTACACCTACAAAAAATTGGTGTAAGCATCATACCAAGTCCATATTTAAATAAATAAATAAATAAATAAATAAATAAATAAATAAATAAATAAATAAATAAATAAAAATAAGATTTTTTGAATTTCTGTGACCTACAATGCTATTAAACATGTAACGGGACAAAATAATAATTAAGGCTAGGATATTGGCAACACCCCAACTATCTTATTTATTTATTTATTTATTTTATTATTTTTTTTTTTGGTTTGGTTTATTTACTCGACTATATGACGTTATTTATTACAGTATTTATTAATTTTGTATTGTTCAGATTTTTTCTCCAGTGTTGAGCTGTGGCTGGAAGGGCATCCGCTGCGTAAAATGTATTCTGGATAAGTTGCCAGTTTATTTCCGCTGTGGCAACCCCTGATTAATAATTGGACTAACCCGAAAAAAAAATGAATGATGAATAAATATTCTGCTTTTATGTTAATGCTCTGTATTTGATATTCATCTGCATTTTTTGCAAATAAGAAAATCTATAAAAAGTTCAAATCATAAAAAAAGACTTTATAATTTACTACAAAATTATTTAATTATATTTAGATATAAATATAAAATACAATAAAAAAATGCCAGAGTATTATCTGTTTGTGTACAGACTACATTATCTACGTCAAGCCATCAATAAACACCATCACGGAGACACTAGGGAAGCTGGTAATCAGAGTCTGCCATTCACATCCTGCAAAAAATAATGTCGCTTAACAAGGGTTTGAATTCTGCTGAGACTGTGATGGCTTCATTACACTGGCCTCACTTGCCATCTGCAAAAAATGATTTAATGAACGAAGTTACGACCGCAGCACTCAAAAATAATGAACGAGTCATTAATGAGGGGCCGGGTGAGAAACACCTGATCCGTTCATCCATCTATCCCTCATCTCCATCTCTAATAAACAGTCCACAGCTGAATCAGGGCAGCACCTTCACCTGCCTGCTGCGTTCAACCTCTGTCTATCAAGATACACCCACACACAAACACAAACACACACACACGCACACGCACACACACACACACACACACACACACACACACACACCTCTCTGTCTGTCACACCACTCCTACGCACTTTAAACATACACACACCTGTCTGTCACACCACTCCTACACACTTTAAACACACACAAATGTTGGTTTTTAAGAATTATGAGGGCATTCCATAGGTTTGCATTGGATTTATAATGTACAAACTGCATTTTCTATTACTCTACCCCTATCATATCCCTACTTACTTTCAAACTAATTTTATTCTGTATGATGTATGAGCTTATTGAGAAATGGAAACATCAACAATATACTCCTAATTCAACATCTCCCTGTAAAACCTGTGTAATACCCATGTCAATACAAACGTTTGTGTCCTGATATGCCACAAAAACAAGCAAACACATTTACACTTTAAACACACACATTTGTTTGAGAATTATGGGGACATTCCATAGTTTCCATTGTTTTATAATGTACAAACTGTATTTTCTATTTCTCTACCCCTAACCCTATCCCTAAACCCAAACCTTGTAGAAAATTGTACAGCTTTATTTAAAAATAAATCTTATTCTGTACGATTTATAAGCTCTTTGAGAAATGGGAACATCAACAATATCCTCCTAATTCAACATCTCCTTGTAATACCTGTGTAATACCCATGTCATTACACAATTTTGTGGCATGATATGCTAAAAAAACACACAAACCAACACACACATACACTGTTCACCTGCAGGACGAGCTTTCTGTGTTTTATTGTCTGTCAGGCAAGTGTTAGCGAGGGTCTTTCCGTCACAGCACACCCCCCGTCTGTCACACTGGAGGCCTGGGACGCACATTCGTACACACCTGTCAGCAGAAGAATGTTTAATTTGAGCAGACCTGCCATTGTTTGATAAGATAATGACTGGGGCTGCTGGTGTAATCATTTCTTACATTCATCTGATGCTGGCCAATAATGAAGGTGAGGCCTGACGCTTTTCCACATTCGCCAAACAATCGTCAACACGTTTTGAAGCAAATGCTGAGGAATGAAGACAATAAACAAACAAAAGTTGGATGGGGGAAAGACTGGAGTGATTGTACTTTAAAATTTCTTTGTATTTCAATGGTTAAAAAAAAAAAAAATTACCAAAACATATTTTACTGATCATTTCTCCGATAATTTGTTCCTTTAGTTAGAATGAATTTACTACACATCTCCAGTGAACACTGATTGAATGACCAACCTAGATTATTGGTGACCCTGAACAACAAAACATTATCTAATATCATACAGGAATTCTATGGGCAACATTGGTCAAAATCATTTATTATTTTTTACGTCAAAAATTATTTGGATGTTAAGTAAAGAACATGTTCCACTAAAATATTTGTAAATTTCCTGTTGTAAATATACAAAAACTAAATTTTTGATTAGTAATACTAGTAAAATTAGTCAAAGTGGTCCTGTATCAATTGCTAAAAGCTAAAGATTAGAAAAAGTGAATTGCAAAGAACTTAATTTGGACAACTTAAAAGATGATTTTCTCAGAAATGTGATTTTTTTTTTTGTTAAATCTCAGAGTCCAGATTTTACATGAAAGTCATTTTGCCTATCCATGTTTTAGGAACAAAACATAATAACTTGACTTCTAGTTGATCATTTGGTCATAAAGTCATCTGGAATGGCAAAGAAGCGATGGCAAAAAAGCGTTCTTGCAGGACTCCCAAAGTCCATCAAGATTCTTTGGATTCATCTTCAATGCCTTCTCCTTCATACCCCAGACATGCTCAATAATGTTCGTGTCTGGTGACTGGGCTGGCCAATCCTGGAGCACCTTGACCATCTTTGCTATTAGGAATTTTGATATGGATTCTGAAGAATCAGAAGAAGGGCTATCCTGCTGAGGAATTTGCCCTCTCCTGTGGTTTGTAATTTATTGGGCAGCACAAATGTTTTGATACATCAGGCTGTTGATGTTGCCATCCACTCTGCAGATCTCTCTGTGATTATTGGGATGGTGTTCAACAGATAATTCATTGGAAAAAACTACCTTCTGCCACTTTTCTAAATTATCAACTAGAAACCAACTAGTTGCTCTTACAACTGGGATTGACGACAAGACTTTTGTCAGGTAGTGTATCTTGGGTAAATGTAATCCTATCCTAACAAAGTATTCATTAAATGTAAAAAATGCATGTCCATTAAAAAAAAAAAAACACTTATGGCTGGTTTTGTGGTAAAGGGTCACACTATCATTAAGATGTAGACATCAACATTTACCAAGTAAAAGATCCCTAAGCTGAATAGGTTAACCTCATTTGTGTTTATCTTCTTAACACAAATGAGGATATTTTTTTTTATCAAATCTGTCAAACTTCTGTTCTTCCTTTCGAAATGCCATGCCTTGATTCGTTTTGAAATCAAAAGTTTTAATCTAAGATTTATCAAGAGATATGTTTGCTTTGTGTGATGAACAGATTTAATTGACACCTTAAACTGATCAGCAAACAAGAACAGAAGCTCATCCATACGTGCTTGACAAGCAAAAACAAACCGTATTGGCTCTTGCAGACATGCAACAATGAATCTAACTGGCTCTTATGCATCAAGCAAGCACAATTGAGCTTCAGCGATAAAATTTGATTACCTTTGTTCACTGATCAATGTGTATATGTGGGAAAAAACATTCAAGTTTTATATCAATTGTTGGGGAACGAGGACATAAAGATAAACAGAAATTGGATGGGGAAAACAGCTGGGATTTAACATTAAAATTGCTTAGGCTATTTTTTTCTTAAGGTTCTTGAGTTCACCAATACAGGTTTCTATTTTACTGAGCATTTTAATAATTAATTTACTTAGTCTCATATCCAAACCCTTAAGACTTTTGTTCATCTCTACACAAACTAAGACATTTTTGTCAAATCTTTTTGTTAGACTTTTTTCCGTTAAAAGTTTGATGGTTTTGAGAATATCCTTTGGTTTAATACAGTTTGGTTTAATGGTCTCATACAGACACATTGCTTTGATGAATGGATTTAATTGAGACATAAACTATCCAATTTAGGCTTATTCTGATTACATACAAGCTATGTTTTTTTGTTTTTTTTTTCTCACGAGTACCATTCACACCAGCTGTTCTCACATAAATCCAACAGAGGACACAGTCGATTGACTGATTTAGTGACTGACCAACTGACTAATTCCCCCAAACCTCCCCCTTCCCTAAACCCAACCAATATTGTTTTAAAAAGAACCAATTGACCCGTCCACCCCCTTCCCTAAACCCAACCACAGTGTTTTAAAAAGCAATCCATAAAAGTCCACTGATTTTTTTCTTACCAGGTTTTCAGATTTTACCACATTCTCACTCTGTTATTTACTTGTTCATTTGATTCTTTTTACCTTTTGTTTTTGTCTTAACTGCTTTCTGGAACCGTTCTTCACTGGACTCAAACACTGTTCTCTCTCTCAGCTCCACTCTGCGTCCCAAGTCCACCGACGTACATGACGAACTGGATAAACTGTTAACATTGAGAAAGCAATACATAAATAACTTATATACATTTGCGCTCTCCAGAAATGTATATAAAGCTATGTTTTCAAAATAAGCCTATGTTGAAATTATCAGCAAACAAAAACCAGAAGCCCAACCATACCTGCTTGACACACATAAATAAACCTTATTGGCTTTTGCAAACATGCAAGAATGAATCAAATTGGTTCTCATGCATCAAGCAAGCAGTTGAGTTTCACTGTCCAATTTTAACCCTTTTGTTCACTGTTTGGTGCTTTAAAAAGCCTACAGATTAAATCCATTCATCAAATAAAGTGATACTGTCTATGTTGAAGACTCTTGAAAACAGTTTCTGATTCAATATTTTAAAGCTACTGTTGTGTGAGTGAACATACTTGCATTGGACAGACAAAAAATCCAATAAATAAGCTTCAAATGAGTAAACATTGACAAAAAATTAATTTATAATTGAACCATGACCTACTTTTTGTTAAAGGTTTTTAGCAGAAATTACTTAAAATTAAACTTTATTCCATTACCTTTTCAAATTAGCCCATATACTTTGTAAAAAGACTTTATCATGCGGGTCTGCAACTTCTTTTGGCTTCATTCGGTTGACAAACAAATCCTGCAACATCACCAAAAATCATTTCAGTTACTTAACATTTCCTCGATCCCTTTTACAATCTTAACCACATAAGGGACCCATAACACCAAACATTAATTTAATGGCTTTGCTTATTCCTCCAAGGAACCCATCAATTACAACACCTTTTACACTGCATTTTGGACTCAACTTTCCAATTTAGCATTGGGGCACCTCTCTAAAAGGAGGCATTTTTAACTTTTGACAAATAAACAATGGCGCCCTGTGAGCCTGCTGCGCTAACCACCGCTCATCAGGCCTGAATTAAATGAGGAGAAAAGTGCTCAGGTCCACACCGTTTTAAGCACGGGAAGCACACATTTCACACAGTTGCCTTTGTGTGTAATATATTGTATCATGGCCATCCTGCTGGGCGTATTTCATATAGATAATGACGAAGGCAATGTGGATATCTACTTGAACGAGTGGGTTAGCTAATTAAGATTATAGCTACTCACAGAAGTGTCTCAGTACAGTTTGCGCCCAGCAAGACACTGCCTTCGTTGCAGGAAAAGCAGCACCATTTAAACAACAGGGTCCACATCACCTGGAGAGCAATTGATACCAATTATACCATATCATAAAGTAACCCAATTTAATAGTCAGGGAACCAACATGGGGCATTTGGGCTCATTTCAGAGACAGCAGCAAAAGGATTAATTTCTTGTCAGGGAGCTGTCATTGTGTCGCCGGATTCCAAACCTAAAGATGTGACTGTCACAAATAAGGCAGGAGATGAGAGCAATTAAGCACGACCTGGCGCCAAGGAAATTAAAGGGCGGTAATTAAGTGCGTTATTGTCTTTAGCCTTGCTATTTTAGTTTTAGTGGAGCTAAAGAGGATTTTGAAAGATGAACATTTTGGGTAATGATCTATTCAACTGAGGTGAAAATATTATTAAATATGAGCACTATCAAGAGTAATTTAGGGGAGGCTGATTTTTCAACCTCCTTTTTTATTATCAATTAAAAATAAAATAATTAAAATATTTTAATATTTTTAAATAAAGATAACACATGAAAAATATGCATCTACGATAATACACACACAAACCTAGCTTTTTATATATATTAGGGTTGCACGATATTGGAAAAATTCGACGTTGCAATATTTTTGTTTTTTAGCAATATATATTGCGATATAAATACAATTTCACCAGATGACTTAAACAGCTCTATTACTTTAGATTGATTGGGATGATTTTGTATGGGACTGAAATATATTTTATAAATATAATAAACAAACTACAGTCATAAATAAACACAATGGAGCAAATGTTAAAGTGAAACAAACAGTGCTTTATGGTTTTTCTAACAGTATTTGGGTAAAGAAATGTATTAATCAAATGTAAAAATTGCAGTCTTTTTTATATAATTATTTCAATACAATGTGTCTTTATTAAATTTATATATGCTCTTTTTGTTCTTATAAAATGCTTTAAACTCTTAAAATGCCATAATAATTTCACACAATAGTGGTTAAATTATGCGTCTCCACAAATCTGCATGTATTTTGACCTGTGGATTTTAGTCAACTATAATCCCAACTCAACATTGCATATATTTGTGGTGTGACTATTGCGGATGCACACATTGCAAATTGCATCAAGCATATATCGATGCTCAAACAATATATTGTGCAGCCAGGGGCGGATTTATGTACTCAAAAATATTATACAATTTTTTTCTTTAGAGTTTAAAACAAAAACAGAGTTTGTCAGAAACATTTTTATATTCACATTTACACTTAGTGTATTCAATTATGTATATATTATGTGTGTGTGTGTGTGTGTGTGTGTGTGTGTGTGTGTGTGTGTGTGTGTGTGTGTGTGTGTGTGTGTGTGTGTGTGTGTGTGTGTATATATATATATATACACACATAATTGAATACACTAAGTGTAAATGTGAATATAAAAATATTTCTGACAAATTCTGTTTTTATTTTAAACTCAAAAGAAAAAATTTGTAT